GGTCCGGCCCGGCCCTGACGGCTCCGCGGGCTCCCTTCTGCAGCCACCATTACTTCAAGTACTGCAAGATCTCGGCGCTGGCGCTGCTGAAGATGGTGATGCACGCCCGCTCGGGGGGCAACCTGGAGGTGATGGGGCTCATGCTGGGCAAGGTGGACGGAGAAACCATGATCATCATGGACAGCTTCGCGCTGCCGGTGGAGGGCACCGAGACTCGCGTCAACGCACAGGCGGCCGCCTACGAGTACATGGCTGCCTACATTGAAAACGCAAAGCAGGTAAGGAGAGGTGGCAGCGGGTGGTTATCTCCCTCCATGGCTGCAGATCTTGTCAGCTAATCACACAGGAGCGTGTCCTGGGGTTTATGGGCTTCCCCACCGCCCTGGTGTGGCTGGGGGGGGGGCCCCCGCCAGGCCGGCCCTGCAGGCGGGGGGGTCCCTGGCCAGGCCTGCTCTGCAGGCTGTGAGCAGTTTGGAGTCAGCCAGGGCAGCTGACCCCAGCTGGCTACGGATGGGTCCATTCACATCACCCTCAGCATGAAGGGGCAAGTTTGCTGAGGAGGGGGTTTCTCCTGCTCCTCTTCTTCCTTCTCCTGCCTCTCCCCTTCCCTGGAGGGCATTGCTTACCATCCTGCACCTGAGAATCTACCTTCCTGTTTATTGTGACTGCTGTACATTTGCTGGGCTGAGTATAGCTTTAGGTACTTTATATTGGTATTAGTTTGGCTGTTTGAGTAAATCCATTTTCATTTCAACCCGTGGGTCTCCTCTCCTTTTCCCAGTCCCTTTCCTTTGCTGGGCAGGAGTCATTGGGTGATGGAGCAACTGCTGTAGTTCAGCCCCAGACAGGAGCTAAATGTAGACACCTGCCTACCTCTCTCTCACAGTGATGAAGTGTCTGCCCAGCCACCCTGTTTTTTCTCAAACATGGGTAAGAGAACTATGTCAGCAGTAGAGAACACAGATCCCTTTAAACATTTTCTCACGTATATATTCATGTCTTGCAGTAGGTTATCATACACTGGATTCTCCTTTTCTGTGATTTTCATTGCTCAGGAAGTGTTTTTGTGGCTGCAGCTGGTGGCTTGTGGATGAAAGGAGGGAGTGTGTTGGTAAAATAACTGGTATAATACATGTTTCTAAAAACCTCCTCTATTATGGGAGATATAAAAAAATATAGCTATTATTTGCATTTCAAAAATAAAATAGATCCTCCTTTCAGGTAGGCAGTTTGTGTGTTCTGTCTCATTTGAACATTTTTCTGATTTAACATTCCTGACATGTTCAGTAGTTGGGAAAACCAAGCGGGTGATACACCCAGACACACAACTCCATTAACAGCTGCTATGTAGGGTCATACCAAAATTATTCAGCTCAGCACGGAGCATCCAGTAAGCAATTCTTGACAGGATTACAAAATCAGGTGCAATGGGTGTTTGTTCTCCTGTGGGGTCTTTTTTTGTTTGTTTTATTTTCTTCTGGTATTTGCAGGGGTAGCCGGGGTTATTATTTGGAAACTCCTATTTTTAGTTTTTCTGATCCTAAAAGTCTCAGATATTCATCTTTTGGCTTTCACAGCATGTCTTAGAAATAATTTCTGTAACTTCTGATGTTCAAAGATGTGCCTCTTCAAAGTTATTATTTAAACCTAATAATCATCTCTCTAGATGCCTCTGATATGTGTTCCTGTACTAAACAGTGAACATTCATTCTCTGCTGACATGCCATACTCGTATGAGATGAGATACACTCATGCCACGTCCACCCTATAAGACATTTCTCTTCCACACTGAGGAGTCCCAGCTTCTTTGCCATCTCATTACATGGAAAATCATTCGTACTTCAGCTGTTATTGAAGAAGGAGATCCTGGCTCCCTGCAGTTCTTACCTCTGTGGCCATAGCTGTAACAGAGACTGTTATTACTACAGATTGTTTGGGTTCTAGGAATAGTTTAGCAAAATAAGGTCTGTGTTTAGTTTAGGAGGAGCTGCTGTGCATGTGTTCTTTTTCTCCCCTCCCGTGGTGTCGCAGGGTGCGGGAGGGCCCCGCAGAGGGCGGCTGGCCCCTTCGGAATGGAGCTGTCACAGGGAGATGTAACACAGGGTTTCGGTTTCCTTCCCTGTCTTAGGTTGGTCGTCTGGAAAATGCCATCGGCTGGTATCACAGTCACCCTGGCTATGGCTGCTGGCTGTCTGGCATCGACGTCAGCACCCAGATGCTTAATCAGCAGTTCCAAGAGCCCTTCGTAGCCGTGGTGGTAAGCGCAGGCTGACGCTCGATACAATCGCATGGCACCTTCTGCTGGGTGGGATCATTTCTAGTGGCGTGTGTTGGGCACGCTGCACCTCACCTGGCTGGGCTGGCCACATTCTGGTCAGACTCCTGGGACCACTGACAGGCCGTGCTCACTGCCGTGCTCCAGGAGTGGGAGCACTGTACAAACTCCTACATTGCTCTTAACTTAAAGTTACTTGTGCAGAAAACTTTATTGAGGAATCCATATTCAACCTCCTGCAGTAGAACAAAGATAAGTTTTCTTTTGCTCTATTGAGTTAAGAGCAAAGTGTGTTCACAGATTTCTGTTACTTCGCATCAAAAATGCCTTTTAAATTAATTCAGTGGCATGCTACAAGGTAGGGGACAATAGGAATTCTATCTTAGAACAAACTCTTTGGGCCCTTTAAGGTCTTCCAGGCTTCAGACCACATTTGAAATCAAAACTAAACCTTATTTTAGATACTACTTGCATAACCATTGCTACTGAAGGAAATAAAGGAGAAAAGACAAATCAGTTCAAACCAAGGAATATAATAATATAATTCTGATGGAAGAGCTACATTAGGGAAGGATAAATGACCCTTATGAAGCGTTTCCACCATATGAGTTCTTCTATGTTATGACATAATTTCAGACAATCAGAACTCTTTGGGGCTGCTATTTTTTTTTCCCCCACTTCTTCTTTTAATTACTTTTAAAATTAAACAGGGCATTAGTACCTGTGTTAGCAAGATTTCTTCATTATTTTTCTGTATTTTCCCCCACAATACAGCAGATCACCAAAATCTTTTTCTTACTTCTAGTGTTTATAAGATAAATATGCAGAATTTTTTTTATTATGATTTATTGATTGCTCCTAAGGGTCATTTCTTTAAAGCATTTGGGAAATAAGGAGAAGGAGTTTGAAAAAAATGGTCTGTAGAAGGCTATTGATATTCCCATCTTTTTAGAGTCTCATACCAACAAATGCCATAAACTGAAAACATACTGTGTATGACAACTAATACAATTTGCACTTGTTAAGCTTCTGAAATATAAATTACAAGTATAAATTGTAAAATACCTATAACAGGCATTACCCGTGTTTCTACAGATTGATCCAACAAGAACAATATCTGCAGGAAAAGTGAATCTTGGAGCATTTAGGACATACCCTAAGGTAAATAGTTATCTAATGTGTGATCACTAAACTGTATTTAAATAAGTAATAGATTAGCTCTAAAGCTTGCTGCGGTTCGATCACCTGACAGTTTGATCTGCTGAGCTGTGCTGCATGTCATTGCTTGTTCCAAAAGCAGGATGTGCTGATACACTGGTTGTTGCAGGTCTTCAGATATTGATTCTGTTTGCAAAGATTGACTTCTAGTTTGGTTTTCATAGATTTTTGGCAGCATCTACTTAAACCTTTCAAATAAATACTATGCATCTTCACAAAACAATGTGTAGAAAAGTTAATTAAACAACTGGAAGGGCTGAGCTAAAAACTAGAGAATCACATATATATTGGAGATCTAGATCTCCAAATGCAGTCTCATGTTTATACTTCTGGCAGATAAAACTGTGCTATTTAATTTCAATCTAATAAAATTCATATGTGTCCTTCAAATATCCAGTTATTACTGAGTCATCAGAACTTCAGGCTGACATCCAGTGAAACTGTAACAAAATTGTTTGTGAGGTTCCCAGTTGCATTCAAACATTATTTTTATGTTGACAAATATATGAGAGTTCATAGAACAGTTTCAGGGTTCAGGAGAATATTCACTTTTGTAGGCAATACCACTTCACAAATATTTCCGTAATTTTGAGCAGGGAAACGAATCCTTGCACCTAAAACCCAAATCCTATATACAAAATGCACAGTAAAATTGTATTGTTAGTGAATCCTCACAGTGGTCTGTGGGCAGTTCTTGCCTAGTCAGTAGTTGTGAGTGGCACCATCTTGGCTAAATAAGTAACTGAAGCTTTAGGTTTCCCTAAGGCATATGCAAGGTGTGGATGTTTCTTCCTTTGTATTCTCTGGCCTCCTATCTTCCCTCAAAAGAGGAGATCAGTTCCAAGAATAGGTAGAAAAATATTATCTTAGAAGAAGCTCACGCTTTCTTTGATGTAAGAAATGATCAATCACAGTTTGTCATCTTACTTGTTTGAAATATCTCAACCACAACCACTAGTTTGCTTCCAGCATGCTTTCTGACAGACCTGCAAATGTAATCACCGCTAGTAAAGCCAAATGTGAATTTGATATCCAAGAAAATTCCAAATTTTTGGCCCTTTGTACGAATTTGATTTTTCCCTAGGAAAAACTGCATAAACTACAATTTTTGTGAAGGGCTTTTGAAGGGTTTAGGCATTTCAGAGAGTTCCAAGATGACTGTGTCATTTTTGCCCTTTGAATTTTTAGGGCTATAAACCTCCTGATGAAGGGCCATCTGAGTACCAGACTATTCCGCTTAATAAAATAGAAGACTTTGGTGTACATTGTAAACAGTAAGTAACATAAAGCTACTGACTCAGGCACAAGTTCTCAGTTTTTGTGTTTAGGTTTGTTATTCAATATGGAAAAGTATGTTTCTGGCTGTGTTTGAAATCTTGGAAGTTGTTCATTGCTCTCAAATGTTTTCAGTCAATGTAGAGGCAATATATGCAAAACTGCATCATCTGTAGTTAACAATTATTATGGTATTGGCAATCCAAGGCATGGAATGGGGCATCACTGCACGAGAAATTAAGGGAGTTATTAAAAATACCCTTGCAGTCTCATTAAACAGAATGCAGCAGTATGTGTGGGGATTGTGTATGCCTGTATCGAAGTGACATATAACATACAGAAAGTCTTTCAGAGTTGCAATCAGGGCTGACTTCATTGTTCAGTGCTCTGAGTTGTTGAGGCTATTTGCCACTGATAAGGATTTTTTGAGAGATATTTCCTTCAGGTGTCACAGGTAAGAAGATGTATTTAGATGTCAGCTTCGTTTGTTTGCGTGTTTGTTTCCAAAGGTATTATGCTTTGGAAGTCTCGTACTTCAAGTCATCTTTGGATCGGAAGCTGCTGGAGCTCCTGTGGAACAAGTACTGGGTGAACACTCTCAGCTCCTCCAGCTTGCTCACGGTGGGTACCGCAGCGCGTTCCCCTGCCAAAAGCCAGGCCCCCCTCTAATGCTGAACGCACACGGGTAGGTGCAGATCCCACATGAAGAATCTGTTTGTCAGGTTCAACAAGAAGGGAAGGTTTTTCTCATCAGAAATACTGAAATTTTCCTTATATCTGATCTTTATAAGTAGGAGGTGGGAATGATTTACATGTAATTTTACCGAGTTCTCTATATGCTTAGATTTTGTCCTAAACACCTTTTAACCTTGTATCTCTTTCCAACACTGTAATGAATTATATGCCTTAAAATAATGGTGTTGAATAAGTAAAAAAAAAAAAACCTGTTAAAACAAGATTACAACAGAAATACAGTGAAGGTCTACCTGCAGTAACAGCTCAGCATCGAAACCTTCCTTCCAACAAAAGCCAGTTTTATACCTTTTTTCTTGATCAAAACCAACTGAATTTTACTTATGCATCATTTAAGGCAGAAAGTAATAAGGAAATGTCCATTTAGGGCTTTAGGAATTGAGCATTTGTCAAATGTTCTGTTCTCACAGCCCCCACCTGTGTGCAACTCATGTTCTGTGCCACTTCAATTACACATAGAAGTTGAATGTGCAGTACTACAGTCTTAAAGGCCCTTCTGGATTTTGTTTATTTTGTGTGTAAATGCTTGAATATATAGTTTAGAATTTTGTATGTTTTATTGCCTTCTTTCTCCTTAGAATGCCGACTACACCACTGGCCAAGTCTTTGATTTGTCTGAGAAACTAGAACAGTCGGAAGCCCAGCTTGGAAGGGGCAGTTTCATGCTGGGTTTAGAGACTCATGATAAGAAATCGGAAGACAAACTTGCAAAAGCAACAAGAGACAGGTAAGATAACACACATCTGTGTTCTTCCCTGTGAAAAGTGTTGTTTCATTTTAAAACTTTCATCATGCCTTTAACTGTAACCTACCAATTAAATCGTGACATACCAGGATAAAAGCAATTATAGATAGGAATGGGAGATTCCAAATGTCACCAGGTATTTTTGAAGGTTTAAGAAAACCTTGCCTTTAGTAAACCTACAGTGGCTTTTCAGTCTTTGTTTCTATAATAAATTCAGCTCTAGTTTTGGTTGCTCACACTTGGCTCTGCGACACCTGTTCTGCACATGCAGGTCTCTAAGACCCATTCCCTGGGAGTACCTGGGCACCAGCCAAACTGTGCTCCAGGCTGGCTCCCTGTGCGTGGCACTTCTGCATCTCTCTGTTCCCTGGGCCATCAGGGCTGGCACATCCTTTGCATTTGTACTTTCTCTTTTGAGACATTTTTATTTGTTAGTGTGACACTATATTTCCCCTGTGGCAGGCACACTGGATGGAAATTAGAGCAATTGGAATCCTCTCAGCTGTTGGGGGTTTTGCGTGTTACAGATCTTGACTGACTGATTAGCTCTATACACTCTTCCTTTAACATCTTCTGTGAAGTTTCTCAGGGGAGCTGTGATTCCTGTATGCCACTGGCCATCGGCTTGGGCAAAGGGGATACAGTGGAGTACAGTGAGAGCCTTTGGGTATTGATAACTGCTGGTAGCTCCAGTTCCCCCAGGGACATTTTTTCATTTCTTGATTCAGAGGGGCACAGATCTGACTTGCTGTTAATATAAGATGTCCTAAGTGGCCAGACAAGGCAGTTTTCTGGGATTTGTCTCTGTACAGCTCTCGTCAGTTTGCTTTTTAAGTAAGAATAAGGTATTGGCAAGGATGGCTAAGTTGCTGTGTGTGACTTCTCCCTTCTGGACAGTTAAGATTCATTGGGTTATGGGCACCCTGAACTTCTAAAACAGCTGAATATCTTCAAATAAAATGACAGTCTAGATTTTGGCCAACATGGAATTTATGCTTGTTTTTCAGCTGCAAGACCACCATAGAAGCTATACACGGGCTGATGTCTCAGGTTATTAAGGATAAACTTTTTAATCAAATTAATATAGCTTGAAGTATGTCACCAGATGATACGCATCTCTGGAGCAGAAAAAGTCATGGTTTCTTTCGCTTGGACTTGCTCAATTTGGGAAATGAAGCTGGAGTGGAAAATTTAACTTGTAGTACTTTAATATTTCCCACCTGTCTGACCAGTTTTAAAGAACAAAGTGTTCTGAAACGTAGTGCAGCTTTTTGTTCCTTATCGTAAAACACAACCAGGTGGGAGGATTGTTCCAAAAGAAAAATAAATGTGACTTACTGTATTTTGGTCTTAGCTATTTATCTCTTATTATCCAACTGCAATAAAACAGTTCTGAAAACGAGTGAGTGTTCTGAGGCTTCAGGTTTTTTTGGCGAACATTAATCACCTGCTTCTCTTATTATTGTTCATAGAAAAGTTCTGTCTACTGAGTTAGATTAGATAGGTAACTTTGCAGCATAAGAAGTTTGTTTCTCATATATTTTTCATCTCCGTGTTTAATTTTAGGAACTGAAATCCCATTTGCTTGTCTTGCCCATGGCAGGGGGGATAGAACTAGATGGTCTTTAAGGTCCTTTTTAGCCCAAACCATTCTGCGATCTTTTAACAAGTTATTAAATCTAATAGGAGCCTTTCCTGATTTAGTCTTGGCGGTCCAGCCAGAAAATGTTTCTTCTCACAGTTATGAAACATTCATGCACAACACAACAGTATTCTTGTTGCTTCACAGCTGATGGACATTTTGTATTTTTAAGTAACAACCAGTCCCATAGTAAAACTGATAATATGGTTATATAGCATTATTTTTCTCCTGTTCACCTCATATTGCATGCAACAATTGACTCTGACAAGCAAAGGAAAAAAAATTTAAAATATTATCTCTGAAATACACATTAGGTTAATTTAGGGCCACAGATACTAAAACGCATTAATCATTGTTGCTGGCCTACAACATGGTGCTGCTGCAGGGCTGAGCTAAGTTTGTTTTGGAGGCCTTCACACTGCATTTCAATAATTTCAAGATGTTTGGATTTCTTTTTAAGTTTTTATCCTTAATCCCAAGTTTCCTGGGGTTTTTGGAATGTTTACTTTTGGGATAATTTATGTTTTATACAATATGCTTTCTACCTTCAGTAACCAATACTCCTTTTCACCCTCAACTCTGCCTTGATGTGGGTTTTGTTTTTGTTTTGGTCTGGAAATTTTAATAGCTATTATTCATTTGTGGCTTTTCATCCAAATGGATTCCAGTGTATTTGAAGCTAAGATGCAAGCTACACAACAGAAAGTTATCATTCAGCAGGGAAATGCAGATACCCTGAAGCAGAAATTCATCAAGAGTTTTGAAGCAGCAGCATCCAACAGTGTAAGAATAATAGATTTAGTGGGAGATAGTAAAGCTGAGATAATTATCAGATGTGCAGTTTGATAACAATTTTATGGTTCTTCCATCATGACAGTGGTAGTGGTGAAGGTGAGGAGAGAGGAAAGCAATAGTTTTTTAATACTCAAAGCTATTTTAATTTTTTAAGGTTGATTATTACAAATGGAAGAATCTAAGATATTAAGCTAATTGCTAACATGCTGCTATTTTGTTTATAAGGTTAAAAATATACCAAATATAATTAAATGTTTATTATCTTATATTCTTCCCTTTGCTAAATTTTGGAGACTTTTTATTTTAGGTCAGTGTTTTAAAATAAGTTTGGTATCTTACTTTCTCTTTGATAAACATACAATTTTTTTAATCTATTTTTATTGCTGGGCCTCCAGAAAGTCCACGTGAGATTTGGACTCTTGCTATGTTATATATTTATTATTCTCATAATCATAATATATTTATGTACAATATGTGAAGTATTTCTTGAAATCTCAATATAAAAGATTTTGTATATCATACTGTAAATTACATTAACATACAATGATAAATACTTTCAAAAAGGACAAAATTTAAATATTACAAAGTTGAGCTAGATCATTTTAATGGTGCAAGTTCTGACAGAGGTGGAAATGATTAAAATATGGGATGATAATACATAAGATTAGTTACATGTATGTAGAATTTTTTTCTTGTGCCGTGTCTTCTAGAACTGATATCAGAGTCTCCAGCTGAAGGATTTTTCTGGAGTTAAAACCAATTATGCTAAACCTTTAATGAATTAACCAAGTATCTTGTTCCTTGGGGTGTATTTTTTATGAGCTGTAGTTTTCCTTTTCAGAGCTTAGGAATAATATCCACGAGGCAACATGTAATTGGGGAAAGTTAATTTTGACCCGCAGATGAAACTTCTACCATATGAAATATTTGCTGTGACATTTGGTTTGTTTTTAATTACGAAAAAATGCTTCATAGAGGGCTTTCTGAAAACTACAGTACTCTGGGAAGTGGCATGGTCCAGTGGATAGGTCACAGGACTGCATCTCCAGAGAGCTGGGGTTTCTTCCTGACTTTTCACAACCCAGGAGTGCCCAAACTTTAGCAAGGAGTTTTTGCCAGAGCTAAAGCCTTTTGCCAGCTTTGCCTGTCTGTTTTCCTCTATGAAATAATAAGGTTGATCATTACCTCTTTAAAAACAGAGATGAAAGAGGAAATACAAGTATTATGGGGTTTGCACACTGGAGGTCATCACAACATCGCCAGTTTGCCAGATGCTACCACCCCAAGTAGAAATTGTTAATAATGCTCTTAGCAGAGAACATCTATTCTGTTTTGCATAGTTTCAGTAGATCATCAGGGAGAGGAAATGCCTGAGCCCTTAGAGGGGATTATAAGTTTATTGTTTTGGGAGCTCTTCATTTTGACTGAAACATCCATTCAGCTCCTATGTAATTTGTCCATCGTTTCCTGTGCGAATTTCCCTGTTTGCTTTAGTCCCAGTTACCTCAGGGCTTGTGTAGAACTGCCATGGCATGGCTTTATTATAAAAGGAAATTAATTTATGTGCCTGCATCTAATGGCATCCAGTCTTTAGTAATTACAACCATCCGAACTCCCTTCTCCAGCTGAAGAGAAGTTGCATTCCCTTACTATATCATTTGAGGTTAGAATGAAACTTATTTTTAATCTGTTTCTAAGGGAGGCGTTTTCAGTCTTGACTTCCACAAAGCTGGAGGTAGAACTGGAGAAGGCCAGAGGTACTAAAATGGCAGATAGTCTTCCAGCTTAAACAAGGTGGACGCGTTCTGTATGATGACACAAAGTGCAGACTAGCTCCTTGTTACGCCAAGTTTGTGGAATATCTTTCTTTTCCACTCAAAAATTATTCTTACGACAACTAAAGTTTTGAAAGTGGCAAAAATGGTTTAAGAACAATATTTATGTAAAACGTAATCCAGGGACAAACAGCATGTGAAGAACATTGTATATCTATTTAAGAATGAAGAATGACTATGAATACTCAGGTTTGTGTAAAGTGACAAAATAATGCTGAGATCCCATTACATCATCTGACTGCTTCTGAAAAATAGCAGCATAAAATAATTTTTACTTTCTCATCTCGGTTCTTCTGTCAAATTCCATTACAATATTTGGAAAGTTGTTATTTCCTCTACGGTGAAAATTGTAAAAGTGTAGTTTGCATCATTTCTTATAACTCATCTTTGGAGACAGAAACTTTCCTAAGTCAACGCTGTAGTCTCTGCTAGAGGTAAGATACAATGTTAATAAAAAAAACCACTGTGAAGATAAAATGCTTGTCTTAACAAACATAGTCTTCTAGTAACTTTGCATCATTTCTTATAACTCATCTTTGGAGACAGAAACTTTCCTAAGTCAACGCTGTAGTCTCTGCTAGAGGTAAGATACAATGTTAATAAAAAAAAAAACTCTGTAAAGATGAAATGCATGTCCTAACAAACAGAGTTTTCTAGTAACTTTACTTTTACAGTTATTAATATGCTTAACTGGGTGAATTGCAAAACGGGCAAGGTGGGATCTCTGGAGGTCTTCTGGTCCAATTTACCCACTCACACAGGGCCCCCTAGAGCTGATTTCCCAGGACAACATCTAGGTGGCTTCTGAAGATCTCCAAGGATGGAGACTCCACAACCTCTTTGGGCAACCTGTGCTAGTGTTTGGTCACCCTCTGTGGCAGGTGCATGCCTGACAAAAACCTGGCCTGACAAAAAGGCTGTGACAAAAACCTGGGCTTGCCAGAGACCTGACAATGAGCAGTTTGGAGCCTCACAGCCATTAAACAGTGCCTCGTGGCAATTAACCAGTGCCTCAGGGCCTGGGCCCTTGGCCTGTCTTAGTTCTGGACTTGACCCAGGCTAATTAGAATGATCACAGCGCACACTCACCTAGGGTAGAAATGGAGACCTGCCGAAGAGTCAATTTTGGGTTGCTTCCCTTAGAGCAAGTTGGCCTTGTAGTCATGAACTTTCCCTTTGGATATATGGGACACCATCCAGGACTATTCCACAGATTGAGTGAGCTTCACCCCGACTCTGGTGAGTAGTTCTTCTGGGTATGTCCTTGAGCTGCTCATCCCACTGCCCTTTGCTTGAGTGACAGTTTTCTCCGTGCCCTTGTGTGGGAGGTTTTTCCTTTGATTGTGTGTGTGCATATTGTGGCTCATCTGAAAGGAGGCTAAAGAGATATGAGGGTTGGTCTCTTTTTCCCAAGGGACAAGTGGCACGACAAGAGGAAATGGCCTCAAGTTACACCAGGGAAGGTTTAGGTTGTACCTGAGGAAAAATGTCTTCCCTGCCAGGGTTGTCCAGGCCTGCCCAGGCTGCCCAGGGCAGTGGTGGAGTCCCCATCCCTGGAGGGGTGTCCATGCTGTGGAGATGTGATGCTGAGGGAAGTGGTTTAGTGGGGACCTGACAGTGCTGGGGTAACAGTTGGACTTGATGAAGGTCTTTTGCAACCAGAGCAGTTCTATGATCTTTCTAGAAAGAATATTCCTCAAAGCTCAGCATTTAGTTGTGTAGCAGTATATTCCCGAACGACATGTGAACTTGTAATTTAATTTTGTCAGGAGTACCAACTAATTCTGGCTATGATAAATTTGCATTTTGGGTAGCTGCTGCTGCTGTTTTGTGGGTACCTCTGTGACACCCTCACAGTGAAGAACTTTTTCCTCCCATTCAGATGGAACCTCCTGGGTTCCAGTTTGTGCCTGTTGCCCCTCGTCCTGTCGCTGGGCACCACTGACAAGAGTCTGGCCCCAGCCTCTTGCCCCCGCAGGACCCTTAGCTCCTGCTCAGCGTTGGTCAGATCCCCTCTCAGGCTCCTGTTCTCCAGCTGCACAGCCCCAGGTGTGGCCCCCCCAGCTCACAGAGGC